AAAAAATCCATTGTTTGATTTTTTTATCGACTGTTATATAATATTTACACCATTCAATATTTAAAATATTTTATGAGTAGGTATACAAAATATAAAAGGGATAAAAACGTAATTTGCATATTTTCAATTTTATTATTAATCTAAAAAATTMTTTTAATAACTTTCTTCCACTTAACCAGAGTTTTACATGTGTGATATCTTATATAATTTGTTCAAGAATAATCGTACGTAAGGAAACGTAGTTATAAACCAAACCTAGTTATATACTTATAACTTAAGTTAGTGTAGTAAGGCATTTATATAACATGTGTATTAACCAAGCGTTAATTATACTATTTTAAGTTTAATTTTTGTATGTATTTATAAATTATATATAATTAATTTCGTAACACATGCACATATTATTTCGTTTGAAGATAAAGTTAACTCATCCTCTTATTTAATCAAATAATAATAAATACAAATTGAGATAATGGTTATAATATATTATGATCTCTACCTTAAATAAAATGTATAATATATATTTATTTTGATTGTAATTTTTTCTAACTTACAAAATATATGCTTTAATTATAGCCWTATATTTTGATCAAAAATTAAAAAATTAAAATCTATCATACATATTTGATAAAAYCATGTTATTTCGTAATGATTTATATGTATATACATTAATATTAACCTAACCTATGTTTTTTAGTTAAGTAAAATAAGGAATGTGAGATGGATGTAATGAGGATTTGTTAATGTTAACGACTGTAACAACTGACGAGATCTTATTGAATAACCTAACCTAACCTAACTGATATGYAATTTTTATTTAGTATTACTTGTTACATTTTCTAAATCCCAGTTTTCAGAAGAAATTTGTTCTGTTTTTTCATCACTAGACCGGTATGCTTATATTATTTTGCAATGTACTCACTAGACTGTATAATATATTTTATATATCTTTATTTTAAATTACAGTAAAAAATGCTATGTACAAAATATATAAATATTGGAAAAAAATACTGTCGCAAACACTAATGACTAATTATAGGCCCTGTAAGAGATTATTGGTCCTGACTGCTAACCAGAAATCATTATATTATTTCTCAAGACATTAAATTTAGAAAAAATCATATGAAAATAAAATAAAATTAAGCCACTAATAATGTAAAAAAAAAAAATGTATAAATTTCTAAATGGCCTATGTTGCCGACGCTATAACGATCAATAAATAATTACAGGCATCCATAATTCACCAATTAGAAGATTATTACTTAATATTTTTATTTATAACAATTAATTTGTTTTTACATTAAACAATGAACGTGATTATCCAAACAGCCACAGACAAAGATGTGGCATATTAACAAACTGACGATCACATATTTAAAATTGTATATTATAATTTTTTTTAAATTTCTAGTGGCCAATGGTTTTATATATCAAACATTACACTACCATGTGTTATGTGTATTATCTCATTAATAATTATTAATATTATCATTCACTATGTCATAGCAATGATAGTCTTCCTAAAAATTTAAAGTCTATCACAAAGCACAATCGAGAAAATAATATCAGAAGCAAGATCATACGATGCATACGGAAAGTTAACGAACCGAGTAAAAAGTGTTTCCAGTTCCGGAACTCTGAAAAACTTGCATTCAGATTGCAATTTTTCAAAATGGCAAGATAAAGATGTTTTTTTTTTTTGTTACAATATACACCTTACGTTAGACTTTTTATTTAATAAAATGTCCAATTATAACCAATATTTATATCAATGCTATTTTGTTTTCAGTACTATTTTGAAATATATTTTGTAAAATATATATTTTCAATAGATATTACCTGCTCATATTGCACACTGTATCCATATGCAATTTAAACTTTGAGGATTCTAAAATAAAACTAAAAATCATATTTTTCTGTAGAAACAAATAATTTAATTTCTAATAAAAAATACAAGTATACCAAGAAATGGAAAAAATAATAACAGTTCACATATCTGAGTCGCAAAACAGCAGGGAACAAACTAATAAAAATACACAAACTGAATATAAAAACGGACAAACAAGCAATAGTATTAAAGCACGCAAAGAAAAAAAAACCGAATTTATCAATAACATAGATGAACTACTATGACCAGCAAGACAAGCATATAACAATCAAAAGGATATTATACTACTACAGTTTGAAAAATGTAAACACCTAATCGAAAATATCCCCAGGAAAGGCTATTCATCCCCACTAGAAGTCATAACACAATATGGCATTAACGACATGCTAATGATTGAAACTCTGGAATTAATAAGACATTATCTGTATGTACTAAAAATAATAACATCACACGAATAACAAACAAAATTTTAAAGGAAGCCTATATCAACGAAATGGAAACTGAAATTTCATCGGAAAACTACTAAAACAATACAACACATTCACGGTCTATTATTTGCCGAAGCAACACAAATTCTCCAATTAATATAAGATTTCAACACTAATAACTAAAATTTTATTTACACCTATATAATAAATGTATATAAATTATAATTCAAATGCCTTTCGTATAAAAATCTTACCAGGAAACTGCATTGAATTTTGAAGCAATTTGACCTAAGGACAAAAATTGTTTTAAAGATAATATTAAGGTATATATAAAAAAGCTAAAAACGCTGATATATCATGCGAAGAACGATAACACCTAATATAACACGGTTATACAAATAAAGCTCATCTAGGATTTGGATTTCTCCAAATTACAGTAGTTCTTTGTATTTTTCTCTAGGTTGTTCTATTTTAGAATATGGTTTCGTCATGTTGAACTTTCGTCTTACAACTAAATAAAATATTGAGTTATGGTTTCGTATGATTTGGATGTATCCAATATTTCTTAAACCTACAAATGACAGATTTAATTASAATAGTTAAATAACTTGAGTTTTGTACTTGACCAGTATAACTAGAAAACAGTAATAATATTTTAATAAATAATTATCGTATATAAACTAAAAAATGTAAGTACATTCTAGATTTAGAATAACTATAAAAATCTTTTTTCAAAGAGTGACGAAAGTGTTTGAAATATTATGTATAATTGGCACCTGTGTCACAATACTCAATAGTCAGTTCTCAGTACCTATTTATTACAATGGATATTAGGATTACAAATTTATAATTTAATCTAAACGTTCTAACGTATTAATTTTTATACAATATATTGACCGTAACCATATCAGGTCAATATATCGAATATCGCAGCAATGAAGAATTTTTCCGATGTCAAGATCCAGTTGTCATTTATGCTCCAGGATTTTGAATCACGAACAAAAGGCGTTGTTTAAGCAAGGTTCTCCACACATTATTTCAGTGACAACGTCAGATCTTGCCATACACCACCTAAATTAGAGCTCCAGTTGGCTAATATTAATTTTGAGCCGTTCTAATCCCAAACCAAATGGGATGTTTTTTAGGACAAGTTTAAATTAAAAAAATTATACCTGTAAACAATAATATGGCTATACTGCTGCCATAATTTTATGTAGATCTACACGAATAAATGTTTTTRTCGTGTTATTTAATTAGGTTTTATTTGACAGGTTTCATCCTATATAATAAACATTTACTTGAGATTTTTCAATTACTTTTATACTCATTTATTTTTTCAGCACAACCGAATTTCTGACTGTGAAGGTTTAAAAATTCACATATTTTAAAATAAAAACAAACATACTATAAAAACCAAAMCAAAAATATCAATATTAGATTTTTCTAGCTAATATAATACAATATATCACCACGTGCGTGTTAGTTTTACACTGAAAAGTTTTTAGAAAAACTTTTCAAGATAACTTTGGGAACACCGATAGATGTCTCCATAACTGAATTCTTCTTTCCTCACAACCTTAAAAAGTTTTAATTTCATTCAAACATCTAAAATATTACCAACGGAAACATAACTATTCTTCTAAAATATTTCTTAAACAGAATTTTATTACAAAATTATTATTAGAATGTCACATGTAACTCCCTTAGGAGTAATAAGATAATGTAAACAACATATCCGTGAAATAAGGAATATGTATTAGAGAATGAAACCAAATGTAATAAATTTGTCTAACGATTCAATAATTATTTATAATTAAAATTTAATTTAATCCCAAAAATAAATATTAAGGTACCTAATCAAAAAATGTATAACATAACTTTAATATATATATATATTTATATATATATAAATATAAATAAAATATGTGTTTGGTTGAACAATTTTGAAATACATTTTCAATAAATTAAATTTGAATGTAATTGAATTAGAATATATATTAATAAATTTGTCAAAGCATAAAAATAAATTTTAAATATATATTTTTAACTGTACATTTACCCTCGGAAACATAGTCCATTGAGCTTAAAGTGAAAATTATTAATTACATATTTGTGTGGTTGCTAAATCTAAGTGTTAGTAAAATGTTGGTTTGAAGCTTGTCAACATTTTATAYTACAAGAATACCTAAAATCATTAATCTTTATCATGAAAAAGAAATGGATAAAGATTGTTCAAAGATCACATATAGATTTATGGAAATACATTTATGAATGCTAAATTTGTCATTGTCATTTATAAAATGTGTCTATAAGTACATACCAATATTTATAATTTTTATAATGTATGTATAAAATAAAATAGTTTAACTGCCTTTTAAAAGTAGTTTAACATTTTTGATCAATTTGGTTTTTTACCTAACCTATTTTCTGAATACGGAATCATTAGTTATTTAACTTTGTCTCGAGAACCATAACTCAGTACCAGTATTGGCAATATCAAAATGTTCTTGTTCTCTATAGGTACTCAAACAAAAATATACCAATTAACAATGTATATTATATTTRTAATATTTTTGGGAGTGAAGTCTGGTAGTATAATATAAAATAATGATATGAATAAAGCAATAATCTAATGGGACAATTTGTCGAACGTAACCTCGGAAAAGAATAGTGAAGTTATATTTATTATAAAATTTTAAAGATCGTCATTAAATTTATAGGAAATGGTTTTAAACGTATCTACGTAATAAAGAATGATTATAATTTGTCGTTATTTTGCTTGATTCCTCATATTTATGAAATTTTTATAAAACCTAAATTTATGACGACCGTCATAAATGGTAAAAAAAACATTTAGAAAATTTTGTATTAGGTTTCACGTTTAAATTATGCTTAACGAGATAGTTATAAAAGTAAATAGGTTTTGAAACATATTACGATGAATATTCTAAATGCGTAAGAGTGGATTTCAGAATTATTTTAAAATTAATAATTTAATTCACTAAAATCAATAAATTTCATTTTATTCAGATTTTTAATGTTTATAGGAAAAAATTGTGAAACCGTTTATCCTTTTTATATCTGACACTGTTTTTTCAGACACGATGAACTTTATCCCAGTCGATGCTTGAAATTTGAAAGCAATAACAACCCCTCAACGTAATTGAATATTTTCTATTATGTAACCAACACACGTTTTATCTTTGGGTACTTTATGAGGTAGGAGCTGATACCGAAATCCTAATCGACGATCTGAATTGTAATGACGTTTTGAAGGTTATTTAATTAAATTGATTTTTGAAACCCATATTATACGAATTATTATTGTAACTGTATATAGTTATGACTTATGAATCAGTTGTCCGGAAATAGATACATTTGAAGATACAACGGTTAAGAAAAATAACATTTGAAATAACATTTTACCACAACTGGTCTCGTTCTGATTCTCGTAAACTAAAATAATTTTAATATATTTTATATAATGATGCATATCAACAACAGCTAAAGTGTCACTAATGGGTGACTACTTTAATCACGTATTTCTCGCCTGTTGTGTTACTTTTCTCGCATATGCTTATTGTGCTAAATTGTACAGATTGCAATATTACATGATAAAAATAAAAATAATAAATATAGTTTATTAGTGTGATTGGTGTGTATTAGCAAATCATGAAAGACCACRAAGTCCTTGTTAGGTGTACGATATAAAAAATAAATTATGATTAAAATCTTTGTATCATTTAATATGTATTCTTAATCAAAACGGCAATAGATTTAGTTTCCAACCACGTAAAAAAATTTAAAATGAAGAATAATGAATTAAACAATATTTTTTAAATTATTGTATTTGGTTTAAACTATTAAAATATTCAACCTTAAATTTAAAGGCACGCGAAAGAAATATAAAAGTTAGGGAGAGGGGGAAGTAAAAATCTCTGATAGTGCGAAGCATAATATATTTTTTTTGTTTTCATAAATGATAAAACAATTAATTTTTAATAAAGGACCTTGCTTTAAACTGATACATTTGTAGCTAGGAGATATAATATCTTGAAAATTAAGTTCATCATGTGGTGCATGTTCTTCACATTTAATACAATAGTTGATAAGTGTATACTAAAACCACACAGTAATATTATAATATTATACCTATACCTAATGTTAAGTAAATAAAAAGAAATGTCTCGACCGAAAAGTCACTTTTGATATTACGTGAATATTTTGGCACTGTAATTTGTATTGTTTAAAACCGTCGGGGTTTTCATAGAAATATACACGACAGGTCGTAAAACATCGAATAAAGAGATTGATATGTGATGATGTTTTAGTTGCTCAGAAAAGGAAGAGTCACAGAAAACTAATGTAGACATCGGACGTTGACAAACATGAGATAGCTAGTGCCTAGTGGACCTATCACGGGTTCTATAATGTAAGCTTACAATTTTCACGAGAAATTGTGACTCTTCCGGTTGAAAAGCTTTTACCGGCTGACAGGTCATTAACAGACAGTTATTCTCCGATAAAAACGTTTTCCGGAGATTTTTCTTTAAAAAGGAGATTCTTTAAAAAAAAAAAAATGGAATTTTAAGTTTATTCAATTTAATACGGAAATGTATTGATTGTCATATCTAACACTTCTAAAGGAGTTGAAACATTCTACACAATATTTTATTTAGGCAGTTTTGAATTAGAGTATATTTATGCGTGAATRTATAATATTATAATATTTTATCTATAGGTATCTACATATATATTATAAAGGGGGTAGGTAAATTGTATCACAATATGTTACTAAAAAAATAATTGTGCCTATATATTAAATGATAATAACTATCGGCCAAATAATTTTCRACTTCTTTATTAATTATTTCAATGTCAATAGTTTGTTAGTTATATTGATCTAAATAATTTTTAGAATTGTTTTTTTCATATAAAAACTTCTTTAWTAAGAAATCAAGGTTRTATTAAAATTTAATCATATATTAGTGAATTAACAGTGCAGCGAGCATGCATACCTATTAATTGATTAATTAATTGATTGGTGAGAAAAGATAGGTATAGGTTCTTATTTTTTTTTATTCAATCRTGAACTTATATCTACGGTTCAATGTTTTCTAAATTTTATTTTGGTTGTTCCTAATAATAGGCACATGTTTAAAATATTACTMTATTATTGTATGTCCCATAATATTTTAGTCATTGTGGAGCACATTATATAAGCGTTTACCAAGGACCRACATCCAACAGTCCTTTGCTGACTACGATTTGTGACAAGAGCAAGAAAGATCACACTTTTCCCGGGCCAAACGTGCTGCTTGAGTTCAGGTAAAATTTTGTGAAAATCATATATTTATTGTAGGTACTTAGGAATTTTTAATATCTATCTAAAACTATTTGTAGGGCTGGAGCCTCGATTCCGCCGTACGACTACACTGGCTTCGTGGCTACTATCGAATTCATCGATGACGTGAGTACGCAACCAGCTAGTACTGCGGCCACTTTGGAAATATCTTCGTATCCAGCCATCGCTGTTCAAAGTAAAAACAAAAACAATTTCAAATCAGTAAAATATAACATGAATATAGTGTTMATCCGTCGATGATTTTGACTGTAGGAAACTTAAGGAACGACCAATCTTGTGAGATGACAATCAAATCGGCTGACATCAAGTCTGGACATTTCGATTTACGTGGAATGCAAAATTGGAAAACAAATTGCACTATTCGTTTCGAAGGGAGTGAACTGGAAATAGTGCACATATCCTTGTTTAACTACGTGCTTAAGTAAGTGTGATAATTATATAAAATCAAAATAAACATAAGACGTAATTTTCTTAAAATTATGCATAAARTTAATAATAATATTATAATATAATGATTATTATTTAAATAAATAAGCATCGGCGTCTATGGTCGAAAAATATATTAATGAAATTTTGAATTTTGATTATTTGTTTTATTATATACTAATGCATTCAACCCGAACGTTATACGAAATAATTTAATTGTAGATCCTKTACAAAAYAAACAATACTTTATTGATTTTTAGTTTATAATATAATAATAATTAAAATTAGAAACATAAAATAAAGATTTAAAGGTTATCTATCATATGAACAATTATTAACAAAATTTTGTATTTACAAATAATTAGTATGATATTTTAAATTATTTTAGAGCCAGTTCTTGTCAATCATTTATTGAAATTTACGATGGACCCGTTATAAAGTCAAAAGATAAAACTAAACGTTTGTGCAGTCCCGTAGAGAATCATGCTAGGGATACAAATGGCATGTAAGTCTGACAATGAAAAGTTTATTAAAGAACTAGATGAAAAATTGTTGCGTTTTTTTATTTCGATCAATTTTATCGTTTTGTTTCACTTACAGGTTTCGTGAAAGACAAATGTTTGTTTCGTCGGGGAATCATATGACGCTCTTCGTACGCAGATTAATGGCAAACGATCAAAAYGAAGAGACCGAATTTTTGGACGGTGCCTACAGTTTCTTTAATGGTTAATTCTTGTCACAATAATACTTGAATTTATACCCATTTTGGTATTAATTTTTATATTCAATGACATGTTTAGTATTAGAAAGAGGAACATTGCAACCGGACACATTATGTGATGTTAACTACAATGGCCGGAGCAGTTCATCTAGAGGGAAATTGAAACATCCAGGAACCGAACAAATATTTTGGAATGTTGAAGGACAATTGAGGTGTTCCCAAAATCTCATTCCAGCTACCAATCAAAGCATAAGCATCAAAGTAATCATTGTTTTATATTATCCATATTTTAAGAAATATTATGMATATTTAGTGAATAAACGTAAATTAATTTATGCTAACAATCATTAATTTATTTAAAATTTGTATTTACAATAAATACTTAACTTGTAATACATTTTTTATAATATTAAATACTTACTATGAGCTAAGAAAAATAATTATTTTTAAAAGTATCATTTAATAAATCTACAACTATTAAATCTAAGTTAAATCTCTATACTCCTTAAATATTACCGTGGTTAGACGTTAGACTAAGTGACTAGTTTATTTAGGATGTTCCGAAATGCCATTTATAAATCAAAGTTTCAACTGAAACCACAAATAAATTATAAAAGCTGTATATAAGCTTAAAAGTTAATAATTACTCGCTTGCCGTACCAAATGAATTTTATTTTATACTAAAATTATAGTTTATGTTTGTATTTAAAAATCAATAGTTATTCCGCTTTATAAAACAGATKATATAAGAAGTTGTAATAATTATWGACCAATCACACTTACATTGACTATAGCTAAGCTTCTAGAAAAATGTATTAAAACCAGACTTATTAACTTCCTAAATGAACATACATTTTTTAACGATAATCAATTTGGTTTCAGGAATAATTTATCTACAAATGATGCATTATATTGTGCTACTAAATTTATTTATGACAATCTTGATTTAAAAAAGCATGTTGTTGGTATATTTTTAGACTTGAAAAAAGCTTTTGATTCTGTAGATCATAATTTATTGTTAAAAAAACTTGAATACTGTGGAATAAGAGGAATTCCATTAAAACTATTAGAATCATTTATTAGTAGTAATAGACACCAAAAGTTTAAAATTAATGATGTTTATAGTGATGACTTATTAGTTAATTATTCTGTACCTCGAGGAACTGTTCTTGGGCCGCTACTTTTTATAATATACATTAATGGTTTGCTTAGCCAAAATTTAGGAGGTATGGTTTTGTGTTTTGCTGATGACACGGTTTTCTTTGTTAGTAACACTTGTCTACATAAACTAAAACATGAAGCCAATATAGGTATTAATTTGATTAAGAATTGGCTGAATAATAATTCATTACAACTTAATTTTATCAAATCCAACTTCATACATTTTAGAATAAAAAATAATAATCATWACTGTAAAAAATAAGTACATAATTGCGTATGCCCTATAATAAATAAAACATCCTCTGGTATACATTTTTACATTTTGATGAACTCTTAAAATGGAATATCCATATAGATAAGTTAATAAAGTCAGTTCGAAAATTCTTTTACGTATTTAAATGTTTGAAAAATATATTAACTGATAACGTTGAAACAATAATTTATAAATCTCTAGTTCAATCAGTATTGTCTWATGGTATAGCATTTTGGGGTAACRCCTATCAAACTCATATTAATAGATTAACTACAACATTAAATTGTCTTGTAAAATATATCTTCAATAAGYCAAAACTCTTTCCAACAACTTTATTATTTAATGAATGTAAAATCTTAAATATTAAGTCTCTTCATATAATGCATSTTTTTGCGGTTATTTTTGAATATATTAGGTAACACAATTAGTACTCCTRCACATAAATATAACACACGATTTGTTAAGGATATTAATTTAACCCTGCCTAAATTAAGAACTACTTTTTGTCAATCGGGACCATATTTTGTGTTTATTAATTTTTGTCTTAAATATAAAATTTGCATTCATGAATTTAATAATTTTATACAATTAAAAAGAAAACTTATGTCTTTAGATTTAAATACCTTACATTGATTAGAATTGCTTATAGTTTATATTTTATTTTTAATAATTGTAATGTAACTTCACTATTACTTTCTTATTTATATATGTTCTTATTATGTTTATTTAATTTTGTAATTGCATGAACTCTCACCTCCAGCACAGCCTTTGGCTTTGGAGGTGATCCGACAAAAATTTGTTAATTAGTAATTTATCTTGTATATATTGTTTTTTGGAGAATTAATAAATATTATTATTATTATTATTATTATTATTTAAAGACAAGTGCAAAGAAAAAATTATATCAAATACAAAAACTGTATAGTATACGTTCATATTACTTCGCTCATCTCAATTTTTTTACTTTACATGAATAAGTATGATTGCAAATCTTAAAATATTCTTAAGAGGATATTATAATAATGGATTATATTTTAAAATCTAGATATAAATAATTTAAAATTCATATATTTTAGAGAGATTTACAAACCTAGTTATTTATGGCTGAATTTAGAGTTTTTTTTTTTTTTTTTAATTTTAAATTTTAGCAAAAAATAAAACACTGATTTTATAAAGTATTTCGCTTTAGAATATTTTAAGTTTTGTCCAATATTTATACCTTTTGAAAATATATAACATATAACTTCCGCCTAAATGTATAAACAAGCTACGAATACGAAAAGCACAAGTATGATATAGGAAAATATAATGGTATTAAAACTGTTTGATCAGTAATAGTCGTTTACATGTACATTAAACTTGAAGCGTTTATAATACATAAAATGCATTAAGTCGATACTATATTAAGATCAAGAACTATTATTTAAGAATTTATAACACATAGGTACATTACATATTATATACTGTTTAATGCAAAACGTTATTTCTGTTTTCAATGAATTTTCATCAGTAAAATAGTAAACCATCTGTTGAATACTATCGATGAAAAAWTTTTATAGAACTTACTTTGTAGTAAACTATAATGACGTTATAATGTTGAAAATTATTTATCAATATATAGTTCAATATAAGTTTTAGCAGGTATTCTACTATAATATAATATAATATAACATCATCATTGTGTAAAATAATACTATACTAAATACAATTCTATACAGAATAAATGTAAATATTCTTCTTTATTCTTTGATTTTGTTTCATTATTGTATAATGTACAATTATGTGTTTAATATAAATTACAATAAGTTATTTATCTATTAACGAGTTAGCAATAAATTATTGGGAGTAGGTTCATAATATTATAATTTCTTTGAAAAAATAATAGGTAGGTATATTAAAATTCCATTAATATAGATCATTTCATCATTTCATCTATTCACCAAATTATTCGACCAGATTACAATTATATTATTACTAATTTATTCTTTTATTTTTTTCTAAATTTGAATATTCTAACACCGCATATCTTAAATATTATTCGCAGGTYATATCGTTAAATAAGATGTCATCAGACCTGTGCTACACCGAATGTGGAGATGGCGGGTGTCGTTGTGTCAAAAACGCCACATCGGTTGTCGATCAGCTGTACATCATATCGACAAACGATGACATGTTATCGTGCATTTGTGGTGATTTTCAGGTAAGATTTTTGACGGATGAAACGGTGAACATAATATGTACACAATATTAAATATTTATTTTTATTTCCGGTGGCTGGATGTATAGGTACTGCATTATATTATAACATATTATGAATATCATGTTTCTGTGTGCATTAGGCCGAATGGTTACCAATCACCGTCAAATCGTGGTCACCCATCAAGTTGGTATACTCGGTATCAAAGTACAGTTGGTCCAACAAGGGGTTTGAATACTCGGCCGAGTATTCGTTCAAAGACGACATGGTATGCGGTTATCGAGTCATCAACCAACATACMGGCATACTCGAGTCGCCGATAATGATCAGAGAGAGTCCACTCAATTTCTATTACCACCAGGATTGTACATGGTTACTGGATTCAAATGTCGAACGTCACTTGACCATAGAAATGGGAAGTTCACAAAGTCGTGAGTATAAAATATGACGTGACAAACTCACCACAGTTGACGCATTAGTAGCAACATATTTAATCACGATTTTCTTACAACGACATAATTAAACCAATTAACTTTATATATATATATGATATTGCAGCGAATTTTCAATTGGCATTTTCAGATATTATGTATGTGTTAATGTCAAAGACGATAATTATTGGAAAAAGAAGTCAATGACATATCGCCAATGCTCGAAATTAACTTACTTATGTATAATGTGTAGGAAAATGTGATTTAATAATCATTTACAGTATARGTGTTCAATAAGTATCTAGAACYATAGATATTTTTGATTCCAATAAAAATGTTGAATTTTTATAAGAACCATAATACGCATATTTCAGAGTACATTTCATAACATTCTTCTTCTAAGGTCTCCGGCCCTTCCTCTTATTTTACAAGTTAAAAGTATCATTTTTTGATTTTCAAATGACTTAACGGCTTTTATGGATACATTTAACTTTAACTATCAAATCAACTGACTGTCAACAATAATGACCAAATAACATATAAACGATTTCAACATATCTCAATTTTCCGACAACTAAATACATTAACCGGCCAATGTCTTCATTTAMTACCCTATYGACTCTGCCATAATAATGAAACATATTACATAACTGTTAAGAAATTTAGTTGAAAACTGAAAAACAATTTTTATTCTGTAATCTGTGGTATTTAAGTGCCATTTTTTATTAAATAATACTTAAAAATAGGATTTCGATTTAATATTTTAAATAGTTATTATTTTTTTAAGATAAAAATAGAGGGTTGACGATGGTTAAATAAACAATTCTTCGAAGTTCTAGGAAAAGGATAATAGAGTCATTGTTCTCTAATAAAACAAACACTAATTCTAGTAATAWCCTTTGTTTTAAAACTTAAAGTTTATGAAGTAGAATTTAAACTTAACTGGAAAAACAATGGGTGAAACCGAGTATTAGATCGGTAAAAATCTTTTTGAACAATTAAGTTTTCTAAGAGCTTACAAAACACCTTTCTTCTTAGAATAATTAAATAAAAATCTCCCGTATTACAAGTTGGTCAGAAGGAAATCACAACAATAATGTTTTGAAATATTTTCAAAATTATATACAACTTCGTCCCACAGCCTACCCAACAAGAAATCGCTCACTTTATTATATTCCACCACACTCTACCTCGTATGGTAACAATCATCCTATTCACAAAATTCTCCAACAGTTCAACAAACTAGTTTAGTTTTTTAC